AGGCTGAGCTCACCTGTTCCTGGTCCCCAGAGAGTCTGGAAACTAAGGAGCTGGATTCTCGGAATGGATTACTGTGGCCAAATATGATGGCGGCACTAGCATGACACTGAAAGACTTCTGTGTCTAAAATGTTGTGTACCATTGAGTGGGTACTGATTCATAGCTAACCCTCCAGAAAGTTTTCAGAAGCAGTAAATCGCATGGAGGAGACTGCCCATCCTTCTCCTGTGGAGCAGCTGGTCGATTTGAAAAGTATGCCTCTGGGATTGGATTGCAGTGCAGCTTCTTGCCACTAGGCTGACAGAACTCCCTTGTACCTAAAATTGCTGCTGTTGTTGTTAGGTGCTATTGCATTGAGTACAACTCACAGTGACCCTATGAACAACAGATTTGAACCCTGTCTTATCCTGTTCCATCCTCACTTTCTCTGACACACTCAAGTCTATTGCTGCTGTCACTGTGTCAATCCACCTGGGGGAGAGTATCTAAGAGTGGATAGATAATGAACACTGCATTAGAACAAATGAGAGGAAGAACTGTCTGAAAGGAATAGATGATTATGTGTGTATTATAAGTATGAGGACAATCTGGAACAAGGGGTACATTGCAGTGTGGGCTGGTGAAGAAGGGGAAGAAAATATGCAACATGAATAAACAAATAAAAAAGGAAAGGAAAAAAAATAAAAGAATACTTAAACAACAAAAAAGATCGCATCCCAATATTGGCTGATGTGCCAGACAACCCACCATCATTACATAATTTTTTTTATTCTGAAAGTCTTTATCTCTGAATTAAAGAGTTCTGGATTCCAACATCATTATTATCTCTTTCAAAGTTCTATCAGATGGAAATTTCCAGATGACTGGTATTCAAAAACAAGACACTGCACACCCATGTCTATTGCTGTTTTGTTCCCAGTAGCAAAGGGGTGGAAATACCCAAGTGCCCATCAACAAATGAATGGATAAAGAAGCTCTGGTATATTCACACAATGGAATACTATGCAGCACTGAAAAACAAAGAATGAATGAAATACTGTACAAAATGGTTAACCCTGGAGGACATTATGTTGAGTGAAATATCTCAGTCATAAAAGAACAAATACTGCATAATGCCACTGTTATAAAACAGAACTGACATTAGAGTTGGGGTGAAACTAAGATAAGAGGGGATAAATAATGTACATGGCATTGAAACAGATGGGGGAGAGAACTGTATAAAAGGAATATATGATTAGGTATTATTGGCATGAAAAGAGTCCAGAATAAGAGCTGCATAGTAAAGTGGATGGGACATGGGTGGGATGGGACTGTATAACAATGAGAGAATTTTTTTCTAAGGGAAAAAGTGAATGGGGGGGCAGGAAGGAAAATGTACAACAATGAATGAATGGAAATCCAAGTCCTCTATAAACTTTCATTAAAATTTCAATTAAAAAAAGAAGACACAGGGAGTCAGAGTAATAGAAGAACTGGGGTCTGTATCTTATTCTTCCAGATACAGAAGAACACGGGGATAGGCAATCTGGACCACCTCCTCTGACTTAGATTAGGAGTTGGGGGGATGTGGAAGATGATGTCTAGGGTGGTCCATGACCTTTCTTTGATCCCAGTACAAGGTTGGGGCTTGCAGTTCCTGGTCTCCACAGCTGGGAACCTACTGGTCCTGCAGGGACGCATTTTATTTGACAAACCTGAGCTGTTTGGGCCAGCTTAAGCTTCTCTAAATCCTTGAAGCCTATCTTGATTGCCCTTATCTTTAGGGTCCCCAGTCCCTGGACATACACAGACCATCTATTTTCTAAGGGTGTGAACATACTCATTTACGAGTCTTTGTCCCCGGGTAGCCCATGAAGTGCTGGAAGAGGAAATGCTACCTTAATCTGTGTTCTACGCACAGTGTCCAGTACAGAGTTTAACACACAAAAGATGTTAAAAACTGGTCATCAAACAGATGAAGGTGATACTAGGGCATTCATTCTCTCACTATTCCTGACCAGGGTTGGCTTTTGTCTCTGCCCAGAATTCTCCCCCCACACCATCTGCATAGAGAACTCCTTTTCCTCTATTGCATATTGACTCCTCCTCTTGGCTGCTGATTAGAACTCTGGTGGCCTAGTGGTAAGAAGCTGTGTTGCACTCCTGGAAGCATGCAGTTAGAATCCACAAGCTGCTCCACAGGAGAAGGATGGGCAGTCTCCTCCCATGTGATTAACTGTTTCTGAAAACCCACTGGAGGGTCAGCTGTGAGTCATTTCAGACTTGATGATGCACAACAACAACAACAAGAAGGGTGCTGTTGTCCTTCAGGGTCCACTTGAGTGCCAGCTCCTTTCCTGATCACCCTCTTCTCCCCTAGACTAAACCATTTCTTCTGCTCTTCTAAGAGGCTCACCATGTGCTGCCTTGACAAGAATGAGCTTCGTAAGTGCATGCTTCTCTTAGTGCCTTCACAAGCCCTCTTACTTCCCCTTAGATGGGCAACCCTCTTGAAATTCTTAATTATTTTCCTCAGAGATATCTACAGTTTCCTTATCTCACTTTCAGAGTTGAGAACCGGTTGTTTGCGTGTTGACTCCTGGTGGCAGGAATCATTTCTGGTTCATTTTGGTCCCTTTCACAAAGCCACATACTATATAGTGCTGTTGTTTTTGTTAGATGCGTGTTATTGTTAATTCCAACTCACAGCAGCCCCATGTACAATGGAATGAGGCACCAACACTACTTACGCCATATTCACAGTCTATATATAGGAGCCCATTGCCTCAGTCACTTTGTAAAGCCATTGTTTTCAGAGTCTTTCTCTTTTTCATAGATTCTCTATTTTACCAAGCATGATGTCCTTCTTCAGGGACCATTCCCTTCTGATGGACAGCATGCCGAAAGTACAGGAGACAAAGTCTCTTTCTTTCTTTGCTTCTAAGAAGCATTCTGGATCTGTTTCACTCAAGACAAATTTGTTTATGCTGCTGATGGTCTAATATTCTTCACCAGCAATTTAATTCAAAGGCATCAAGTCTCCCGATCTTTTTCTTATTTATCATCCCACTTTTCACATGCACGTGAGGAGAGCAAAAACACTATGGCTGGAGTGAGGTGTGCACCCCAGACCTCAGGGACATCTTTAAAGGGATCTTTTGCAGTAGATTTGGCCAGTGCAATATGTCATTTGATTGCTCCACTGTTCTTTTAATAGATATTGATTATAGATCCCAGTGAAATGAAATCCTGGATAACTTCAGTCTTTTCTTCATTTATCATGATCATGGCATCAGTGCACATAATAGCATTTGACAAATAATTGTTCGATTAAATGACATTTCATTTCTTTGATGCATCTTCTCACAAGTCCTGACCTGAGGCCTGGTGGCTCGTTCTGCTGCAGCACAAGCCTTCCACTTGTCTCTCTATGTTGACTCCGTACTTCACCCCAGACTGGGAGCTCCGTGAGGGCAGGCTCTCACCTTTGCATCTCTCCTGGCACCCAGCACAGAGCCCAGCACAGTCAACACCCTGAAACGATTTGATCTGACCACCTACAATGAGGATAAATACTTCCACCTGCCACCTTGCAGGGATGTTCTGAGCATGAAATGAGATGCAGGAATTTCCTGGAAAAGTTCAAAGTGTTCTGCAAATGTAACTTATTATCGTTGCCCATGCTTGTGGCACTGGCATTTCCATCTTGTTGTAGTCAAGACAATGACCATCTGAGATTTTCCAGATGCAGCTTAGAAAAATGTGTGCGTGAGCTGCATGTCTGTTCATCTGTCTGTTGCATGCTGTGCATGTCCACCCGGCCCCCTGCTCCAATCTGGGATTTCTGACTCAGTCTCCCAACAATGCCCCCTTAGATTCCACGTTCTCATGGAGCTTGATTTGGAGGGGGGTTACAAGACTAATATTTCTTTTGCTATTGTCACCTCAGCAGGCCAATTAAACTTATGCTTATGTACCTGTGAACTAAGAACAAGGAATCGGGCCCTAGGTGCATCACAGAGGAGTTAGGAGAATTCAGTGGAGTTATGGAAGTGGTCTGTAAGTAGGAAGGATTAGGAGGCCTTTTCTGGCAAGTTAGGAGGTAGGAAGAAAACCCTCCCACCCCCTGGATGCCTGTCTGGGCACAGATTGCCAAGGAGGGGGCACATACCAATACCGACACCCAGGTGTCCCCCACATGGTCCTCCTGGGGACCAGATTGCTACTTATAAAACAGCTTGTGGGCACTGACTCCCTGTCCCTCTGTTTCATGAGGTTGCAGTCTCATCTTAGGAACCAGAATAAGATGAAGCTCAGAGAAGATGGGTGATCTGCCTGAGACTCTGACATGAGACACAATGTGAGCTCCAGTCACAACAAGCTGTCTGTGATACTATGTTCTCTCTTCATCTCTGGCCCAGGCCCTCCTGGGACCCCTGAAATAAGGTACAGAATCTGTGCAGAGAGAGGCTGCAGCAGACACCTGCTGGACCACATCCGGAACCTTTGGACACCTGCACTATGTGGACACAGGGGTGAATTCTCCCATCACAATCTGGGTACGATTAGAGAGCTCATGGTTGGTTTCACCACACTGACGTGGCTGTTACACATGGCTCTGTGGACTGAACAGGATCTTTCATCCTTGGAGGATAAATTAGTGGAGGGGCATGTGAACTTTATTATCCTTGTTCAGCCCACAGAAGAAGGGAGGCAGAGAGACCCCCCCAAAAAGAGGAAGAGACATAGGGACAGTTTAGGAAAGGTGGGATGGCAGACCTAGAGTTGGAAGCCCTAGGGGTAGGTGTTGTAGTTTTTGTACCATCGAGTTGGAACTGACCCATGGCTCTGTGAATTTTCAGAGGTAGTCAATTGCATGGAGGATACTGGAGCAGCTGGTGGATTTGAACTGTGCACCTTGGCATTGTTAGCACAATTCCTTACCACTCAGCCACCAGAGCTCTCCACAGGTAAGAGGAGTCATGTGAAAACAATCGATAGAGGTGGCCCTAGACACTTACCTCTACCACATGTGAAGAAAAGCCCGTCTGAGACATCTCCAGCCCAAAGGATGTTTCATTCTTATTGGTGCCTAAAACCAAGGGTCAGAAGATGTTAGTTCCAGGCTCGAGAGGCGAGCTGGACAGACTGTGGTTCAGGTTCCGAGGGGGCAACCTTGGGGCAGGATTCTTGTGGACAGTTGTTCTTTCCAGGAGGGCACATAGGTTTGTTCCTTCCAGCCCACGCCCTTCTGAGAAGGGTCCAAGACAATTTACATTAAAGGCATGTCTACTATAAGGCTGTGGAAATAGGAAAGTAAACCAAGATGAGTGGACGGAAAGAAATAGTCTACATTTTTGGCAGAAAATGGAATTTCCCACTTTGTCCATCCCTATGATTCCCCAGTGCTGGCTGCAGATGCCTTGGTTGGCTACCAAACATCAAGTCTACCCTTGAGGGGGAGACATGTCACCACTGCGTATTTGCAGAAGAAACTCCAAATGTGTTGAAAGCCCCGCCCCACAGAGGCGCCCAGACTCATGTTGTTGGAATCAACGGTCTCATCACCCCAGGGGACCATTGTGAGGAGAAATACATGCATTTGGGTACTGAAAGCTCTGGTGTGAAAGTCATGTTCAAACATTCTATTTACACTTCTTTTTGAGGGCTGCTTTAGGTTATGCAACCGTTAAGCATTTGGCTGTTAATGGAAAGGTTCGTGGTTTGATCCCACCCATGGATCTATGGGGAACAAACAGCAGAGATCTAACTTACTGCTGTTGGGTCATTTCTGGCTCCTTGGGTTTCTGAGGCTGTAAATCTTTACGGGGGTAGACTGCTCATCTTTCTCTCATGGAGCAAGTGGTGGGTTGAAGCACAGACTTTTAAGTTAGCAGCCTGATATGCTAACACGCTGTGCCTTTAGGGTCCTTCCATAGAGACCATAGCCAAGAAAACCTCGAGGGGTGGGTCTAATCTCTTACACGGGGTCACTATGAGTTAGAACTGACTAGACAGCACAAAACAACGATATGATGACTGTTTATGGTTCTTTTAGTGTTTGTGTCTCTTCACTTTAAATCTAATAAGGGGTTTCTCGAACTTGGGAGCAATGCCTTAGATTCTTTTTACAATTATCATATATGCTTAGAGCCCAATACTGGAAGTTCCCCCTACAGCGACAAAAAAAAAAAAAATAAATAGAGATTCAGTCAAGAAGAGAGAGGCATCTTAAAATGAACCCTGTGTGTGTGTGTGAAACAAATCCAAAATGAACACGCTTCTGGTGGAGAAGGAGGTTAGGAAGGCGAGGGATTAAACATTCCAGGCTGTGGAGGCAGGCCCATGAGGGGGTGCCAGATAAAATACAAGCTCCTCATAAAACTTGAATGTCAGATAAATATGGTACATTTTATGAGTACAAATACACCTCAAGTATTATATTTTATATTGGCTAAATATGACTTATCTGTTAAATGTAGCAAATCTGGTCCAAACCTCAAGCCCTTCCCAAGCTGCGGAAGTGCAAGTTGCTTAACTCTTTCAAGATCAATTTCCTCAGCAGTAAAATGGGGAGATTATCAGCAAAACCCACCTTTTGAGCTTGTCTGTAAAATGCATAGCCCTGTGCCTAGAGTCAAGTAGTGTTCCATTGTTGGCATTTATTATAAAAGGGACGTGCTTTCTAAGCCTGGAGCAGTGGTGACTTAGTGGTAGAATCCTTGCATGTGGGAGATCTAAGCTCATTCTTGGTTGATGGACCTCCAGTGCAAACACCACTACTTGTGCACTGCTATGATTCTAAATGGTTTTAAGAGGAATATCAAGACAGACTAGGAAGAAAGGCATGGTGATCTTCCAGTGAAAACCAGCCAACGACAATACTGCAGAACACAATTGTTAGATTCCCAAAACTTCTAACAACCTACTAAACAATTCCTTATTGTGGGCTTGGGTTTTGTTCAGTTGGTTCAGAAGCTGATTTGTCCCTCTTAGCCATGCCTTGCTCACCTTCCAGGCTGAAGATCCGGTCCCCTAGGGCATCGACGATGTCCTTCAGGGCTGCCTCATCGGTGACATTGAAGAAGTGCTTGTCGTCGGGGTCGCTGGCGATGTACTTGATTTCATTTAGAAAAGTTTCTGGGTTGATCCCTCTGCGGTTGTAGTAGCCCAGGACCTGCCAGGGAACACGGTGGGGGGGGGGGGGGAGGGAGGGCAGGGGCGACAAAACAGGACAGATGTCCCCACTCCCTCATGGCCCTGTGTGGGCTGGAGCCACACCCGCCCCAGCAGCTATGAGCATTCCTTCAAGTGCTTGTTGCATTTTGGAGCATTTCAGAGACAAGACAAGGAGCCTGCTTGGAGCTAGGGTGATGGGTGGTGTAGGCCAGGGGCTATTTCCTGTAGTTTAAGAACTTTCCTAGCAAGACAGAACCAAACAAGAAACAAAGCTCCACTTTTGTGGCTAGGTTCAGATGGTGCAGAAAAACTCCTAACTGGTTCTTTAGCAGAGGATGAAATAAGAGACTGAATTTGAGGAGTGGCTAGAAGCTTGCTGCAATCCTGAAAGCACGTGGTTCAAATCCACCAGCTGCGCTAAGGAGGAAGGATGGGCAATCTTCTCCCATGAAATGAATTGTCTCTGAAAACCCATCGGAGGGTCAGCTATGGGTTGGTTCTGATTCTATGGTATACAACAACAACAAAAACAACAAGCTCCATCGGGAAGCTCTGGTGGCCTAGTGGTAAGGAGCCGCGCTGTCGACTCAAAGGTAGTCAGTTTGAATCTACCAGCTGCTCCTTGGGAGAATGATAAGCAAGCTCCATTGTAATTTACAGCCTAGAGGCATTGCTATGAGTCAGTTCTGCCTGGATGGCAGGCAGTGAGTAAGTGAGTGAGTGAGTCAACCTGAACAGCTTGCTCCACCGCCCAGAAGATGTCCCCTTGATGTCTCCAGGGGTTGATGGCCAGTGCTCCTTAGAGGCAGTCATCACCTCTGGGGTAGAGGGCGGGCAGCAGGGGTGGGAGAGAGGGGCAGGACTTACGGCCACTGCATATCTGGTCACATTGTCCTTCTCACTCTGCTGGATCACCTTCTCCAGGTCAGGGCTGTCGTGGGACTCCCCATCCGTGATGACAATCATCACCTTCTTGGCCCCTTTCCTGCCGCCTTTCTGGAAAGCCTCTGAGCTGGAAGCAAACATAGGAGAGGGTCAGAGGAAGGAAGTCGAGGGGCAGCTCTCAACCACGCAGATCAGACACAGGAACCGGGAGCAAGATGGTGGGGGAAGCCCAACAAGCTTTGGGGCTTTGTACCAAAGGCGTAGCTAGATTGAGGAGCTGGGCTAGACTTTGATCAGCGCTAAGATGGGTCTTAAAGCTGCCTGTCTTTAAAGAGTAACTTTTGTTTTCAAAATTTAATTTTATTAATTTTAATGAACATTTAAAGAAATTTTGGATTTCTATTCATTCATTGTTGCATTTTTCTCCCTGCCCACCCCTTCCCCCAGTTTGCTCTTCTCTTTGAAAAGTAAAAGAAAAATTCCTTCATTGGTATATAATCCCCCAACCCCCCTGCCCCAAGTAAACTCCACTATGCAACCCTCATTCTGGACTCTTGTCATAACCATAATATGCAAACATATATCGCTTTTAATCTGTTCTCTCCCTCATCTGTTTCAATGCAGTATACATGATTTATCCAATTTTTCTGTCTCACCCCAACCCTGATGTCAGTCCCGTTTTACAAAAGTGGCACTATGCAGTATTTGTCCTTTTGTGACTGAGATACTTCACTCAGCATGATGTCCTCCAGGTTAACCCATTTTTAATATTATTACATGAGTTCCTTGTTTTTCAATGCAGCATAGTATTTCATTATGTGAATATACCAGAGCTTCTCTATCCATTCATTTGTTGATGGCCACTTAGGTTGTTTCCAAGTCTTTGCTATTGTGAACAAAGCCGTGATAAACATGAGTGCATATATCTGCCTGGGTTACAGTCATAGCTTTTTAGGGTATATTCCCAGTAGAGGAATTGCTGGGTCAAATGGTATTTCTATTTGCAACTTTCTGACAAGGGCCATACTACCTTCCGCAGTTGTTGCACCATTTTATACTTTCACCAACAGTGAATAAGGGTTTTAGTTTCTCCACAACCTCGCCAGCATTTGCTACTTGTTATCCTGTTAAATTTTGCTATTCTTACTGGGGTGAGATAATATATCATAGTTGTTTTTAAAGAGTAACTTTAAAAAGTCCCGTTAAAACATTGAACTTGTTTGTAGCAGGCAGAAAGAGTGAGGTAAGGTTGGGGAGAGAGTTCTAGGTCAAGTGGGACTTTAAGAAATACAGGCATCCTTTACTGTGCTCTGCAGGTATTTATTGATTTATTTTTTAACAAATTGAACAAATAGTCCACTGGCACCATCACTCCAACTGCCTGTGCTCCCTTTACATTTCTGTGTCCTGTTTGGGTAATTTTCACACCATTTCACTTTATTTTCATAAAGCTATTGTCCATTTAAGGAGACTAAAGTAGACTGTAAATATAATTTTTATGTGCACTGGGAAACCCCCAAATTTGTATCACTCGCTTTACAGTAACAGTCACTTCATTTCAGTGAGTGGTCTCAGATGGAACATGCAGGATTGCTGAGAAATGCTGCCTACAAAATCAGGGGTTTAAAACCACACTGCACATTAGAGTCGCCTGGGAGGTGACTTTTTTTCTAAAAAAACCAAATAAAACTGATGCTCAGGTCCCACCCGACTCAGAAATCAGAATCTCTGAGGTCAGTATTTGTCAAAAGGTCAACATTCACAGTGAAGAACCACAGTGTTGAGAAGATGACATGTCAGGGCAATTCAGCACTCAACACTAATAAACTGTGTATGATGACGTCTGACAAGGCTCTGACTTCTACCATGAGGACTATTTTGTATTTCTTTTGGAGAATAGGAAATTCAACTTCCAATTCCAAATATTTCACTTTCTTTTCCTTTTGTTTCTAAAGCCAGAAGACTGGCTGGGGCCCACTAACAGGGCGATCTGGCCCAAGAGGCCAGTGAGGTTAACGTATTGACCCTCACAGCAACAGGGGTGATTTTGAAGCTGGCAAGTGGCCTCTCGACCATGAACAGGGGCTCCTGAACCATCACTGGCTCTTGATGCTTCAGTGGCTAGCCTTCTTTAGATTGTAAGGTTCTGAAAAATACTGACTAGGGAATGCCCAAGAGTTTGGCCAAGTAGGTAGACTTTTCCAGGAAGGATATACACATAAATGTTAATCTTGGACTGTGTGTGGATTCCTCACACTCCTGATACAAGGTAGGGCAAATGCTCCACAAACTCTAAGTGCTGAGCTGCCAAGTTGAAGGGCATCTTGGTTCCACAAGGCTTTGGTTAGCAGATGCATCTCTGGTTACATAACACACTGTCAAGCTGATGTGCATGATTTAGATGTTGAGGAATTCACAAAACCTGCAATGTATTAGTTCTGAATATCCTTACATCCCCAATTAAGAGAAACGATGGCCTGCCATTCTGTATGGTGTTATGGACATAATGACTTAAAAAGAAAAAATTGAAACAGAATATAAACTGTGGATCAAAAAGTCTGCAATAGGCACACTCAGCTACAGTAAATATGGAGATGAAACAAGACCCAAGGGAGGGAGAATGCTGCCATTCTCTCAGAGAAGATTCTAGATGCTTCCATGATCTCATTGTCAGGCCCAAGAATAAAACACCATGAAACTCCAGAAAATATGTCAGGAGAAATATTTGAAACCAAAAACACCCCCAAAGTCTTATTTCTATATAGTGGAAGAGGGTGAATATCTGTCTGATCCATCAGGCTTTTAGTGGTGGTGTTTGTATTGTAGAAAGGAATATGGGTTTGAGTCCTTCATCAATTTGATCACCTATTTCTTGAGAACATTACGTTTCCTACAGGTTCCATGAGCTTGGGAGCCAAGCGATCCCATTGAAATGTAGGTCAATGCAGGTCTTTTGTTCTGTTCATAATTAGCACTGGTTCTCGTATTTTCTGGGGGAAAGCCCAAGTCCTTACAATCCCCCCCCCCAGACTCCCATGACCTGGTGCCTGTTCTCTCCAAGCCCCTCTCATTCAGGTCATTCTGATCACACTGAGCTCTCTGATCATCCAGGTACACTCCCGTGTGAAAGCAGGGATTCCTCTGCTTAGAACAGAGGAATCCCCCTCCCCAATACTTGCTCGGCCAATTTATATTTCCTGAAAGTCTGCACTCAAATGTCACCTTCTCAGTGACATTTGGGCACATTACCACCTTCCTGTTAATGCTAATCACACACCTGCCCTCTCCAACCTGCTCAAGCTCTTTTCCTCTATGATTTCCCATAGCTTTGAGCTCTGTCCAGCATAGTGCCTTACCTGTTAACTGTCCGCCTCAACGTTGTTTCTTGTTTTTCTCCTTTGTCTACATCCAGGGACTAAAGCAAGTCTGGAGTGTAATAAATTTGTGTTCAGTGAACAAAGGGCCCTTACAACGTGGCTCAGGGACCACTAGTATATGCATCATTGCAGGTACCCATGCCAAGAGATATGCAGCTGCCAAATTCCCCTTCTAAACATGGTAGCCATCAATACACTCTGTACTCCAGATCTTCAGGGCCTACTCCCTGCTAATGATAGCTAAAATATTATCATTCTCCTTATAATTTGGTTCTAACTCCCTTTTCTAGCTGTTTATGTTGTTATGTATTGTTGAGTCAACTCTGACTCATAGTGATCCTATGAACAATGGTTCTGAACTCTGCCCTATCCTGAGCCAACCTCACAGTATCCGACACACCTGCCCCCATAGACACAGTCACTGTGTCAATCCATCTCGTCCAAGGTCTTCCTATCCTGCCCTGACCATTCACCCTTCCAAGCATGATGTCCTTCTCCAAGGACTGGTCCACCTGACAACATTTCCAAAGCATATGTGACCAAGTTTAAAAATCCTTGCCTCCAAGAAGCAGAAGGATTTCACTCTCTTCAAAATAGATCTGCTCTCTTAGTAGTCTATGGTATATTCAACACTCTTCTCCAGCACCACAACTCAAAGGCATCGATTCTTCTCCTGTCATCTTTATTCACTGTGCAGCTGTCAGATGCATAGCAAACAATTAAGAAGACCATGGCCTGGACTAGACGCACCTTAGTACCTAGACTGACATTGTTGCTCTTTAGCACTCTGGAGAGGCCCTTGACAGCAAATTTTCCCAACGCAATTTGTATTTTGCCAAAGGTGTTGATTTCATCACTGAGCAAGATGAAATCATTATCAATAGCAATCTTTTCTACATGTATCATGATACTACCTTTTGGCCTGGTGGTGAGAATCTTTGTTTTCTTGATGTTGAAATGCAATCCATATTGAAGAGTACAGTCCTTGACCTTCTGCAGCAAATGCTTCAAGTTCTCCTTAGTTTTGGTTAGCAAAGTTGTGTCATTAGCATTACATAGTGTTGATGAGTCTTCCTCCAATCCTGATGCCACCTTCCTCCTCATAAAGTCCAGCCTGCCAAATGATCTGTTCTGCATAGACTGAAAAGGTATGGAGAGAGGACACATCTTTGATGCACTCCTTTCTTGATTTTGAACCATGCAGAGTTCCCTTGCTCTATTGAGACAAGTTCTTGATCTAGGTATAGGTTTCACATGAGCACAGTCAAGTGTTCTGGGATTCCCAATATTCTCAATGTCAGCCACAGTTTGTTGTGATACAGAAAATGCCTTTGCGTAGTTGGTATTTCTGGTACTTTCTGCTTTTAGTCAAGATCCATCTGACATCAGTAATGATATCCCTAGTCACGGCCTCTTCTATACCTGGCTTGTATTGCTGGCAGCTCTCTGTCAATGTACTGTCCTAGTAATTTTTGGAGTCATCAGCAAGACTTTGCTTGCACGTGATACTGGTGATATTGTTCAATAACTTCTACACGCTGTTGGATCACCTCTTTTGGGAATGGGAATATATATGTATTTCTTCCAGTCAGTTTACCAGGTAGCTGTCCTCCAAATTTCTTGGCATAACTTGGTGAACATATCCAGGGCTGCACCTGTTTGTTGAAATATGTCAGTTGGTATTCTATCAATTCCTGGCACTTTATTTTTGCCAATTCCTCCAGAGCAACTTGAACATCCTCCTTTATTA